CAAAGGTAGGGATAGGTGTAATTTCCGCTAATGAATAACATAGATTCCGATAGGGAATGAAAATATAACACTATGATCTATGTAATTTTTTATCGACATCTGGTTATTCTAATCGTGATTGTCCTTATTTGTAAATTTTATAGAAATATAAGAAGTTCATAAATAAAAAAACATATTTAACTTTAAGTGAACATTCGAATTAAAGTACTTTTTCATATTCAAATCTTTGTCCAAAAATTTAAAGCAATTTTTAGCTTAATTTTATTTATTTATTAGTTAATAGGAAATTTAACTAGAAATTTGTATAAATTCGATTAAGATTACAGTTAATTGATTTCATAGTTAAATACCAGTACTCGTAAAAATGATACTTTGCTCACACTTTATTTCTTATTGCAAGGAAATAAATAAATAAGCAAACAAAACAAAAAGAAAGGTTAATAATTTGAGCGCCACAACCTGCGCAGTGACACTTAAAATAATGAACTCGACGTCCACACTTGTAGCAGAAATTAATGCCGCACCTGCACTCAACATGAAGCAAAATTAAATTACACCTTTGGGAAAAAACAACTAAAATTACTGAAAAAGGGCAATGAACAAATTAGTTTAACGATCCTCGTAATCCAAAATTGAATCTTGCAGAAGTTAATTACAAATTTCCCAGTTAATCTAAGGCCCTGTTTGATTGAGGAAAAGTTCCATGGAAAATGGAAAAGAAATTTCATGTTTGATTAGCTAAATGTTCTTGGCAATTCAATTTCCACCTTATGCCACCACACGTGCCCAATTCTTGGTTTTTGAGGAATTCTTTTTTCCATCGTTTTGGTGGGAAAATGGTTTTCCAGCTCTCTCTCTTTTTTTTTTTTACAATCGAAACAAATTCTATTTCCCAATTGTAAATTTTTTTTTCCCTTTAGTGGACAATTTCCATGTAAGACAAAACCAAAAGATCCAAAATTTCAATATTTTTTAGGCGAAAAATTATATGAATCAAATATAATTAATTGATAATTCCTAATACGATGAATTCTAGACAATTCAATTCCCTATAATTCATTTTCTCTCCACCCAAATTCCATTCTTACAATCAAACGGACCATAAGAGAAAGAAGCAAGAAAGCTCCACTCTTTACCTGGGCCCTCACTATTCATCCACCCAAGGGGTTTTTTTTGACAAAGTTTCTAATAAAAGTTTTAGCAGATTTTAATATAATTTGATAAAATATTTTGTCAAAAAATTGATCGAAATTGTGAGTCCCATCCCATGAATGATATACTTAAAATTAATTGTTAACTTTAAGCTCAACATTTTAAACTATACCAAACAAGCACTACAACCTTTTGACAAGAATTATGCTATCTATAACTGACACTTAGGACATGCATCGGAGTTTTATTTACAGGTTTTGACCGCTTATGACTTATGAGAAGTCGACAAAATCGATGTTTCTTAGGTGCCGTTCTCTTCGTGTTTNATTCTTTCTAACAGAGTTGCAATTACAGGTGTATATGTGATGAATAAAGCTATTTGTACAAAAAGAATTTGACAAAAATGTTGATAAACACTCACATGATTGTCGGTCCCACATGAATAAAAAATTGAAAATAAAAAGTGGGCCACCCCACATGTGAGGGGTTGTCAACATTTTTGTACAAATTCTTTTGTACAAGTAGCAAGGTCCTAAAAGTTTTAGCAGATTTTAATATAATTTAATAAAATATTTTGTCAAAAAATTGATCGAAATTGTGAGTCCCATCCCATGAATGGTATACTTAAAATTAATTGTTAACTTTAAGCTCAACATTTTAAACTATACCAAACAACCACTACAACTTTTTGACAAGAATTATGCTATCTATAATTGACACTTAGGACATGCATCGGAGTTTTATTTATAGGTTTTGACCGCTTATGACTTATGAGAAGTCGACAAAATCGATGTTTCTTAGTTTTTTAGATTTTGGGTGGTTCAATGTGTACTGTGGGACGTATTTCTTAACCTTCGAATCGAAGATTTTTTTGTTGTTCCTCAATTTCTTCCAATTTTACTCTTTAAAAAATATTTATTTACAACCTACATATTTTATTCAAAACTAACTTTTATATAGAACAAAATAACTAAAAATAATAATTTATAAGCAAAAACCTACTTTCTAACTAAAAGTTTACTTATAAGTAAAAATTACTTATAGAATATAAATTATTTTTGTTTAAAAGATTGCTTATAAATTTAAAAATAATACTAATAAGACAAAAATTCACTGATTAACTCCCAAGCATGGATTAGATTGTTTTAAAATTTGTTAATGGAAACCTCCAAAAATTAGACTCTTTCATAAACGCCAAAAATCAATACTTTCAAAAACTCAATAATCGGTACCCTAAAACTTTCAAGGAGGCCCTTAAATTGGCGATGATCAACAGTACAGAGAGATGAACTTACTCTTGCACAAACACATAAAATGCATATGCAAAATTAACCAATGAAAAGAAAAATATAGTCATGGCAATGGGTCGAGCCGGCTCGTGGCTCGTTTGCTCGTGGGCAAGCTTGGCTTAGCCCACGAGCTTTTTGAATTTTTTTTACTTTTTCACTTTTTTTAAAATTTTTCTTTAATTTTTCACGAGTCCACGAGCCGCTCGCGGGCTCGGGCTCGTCGAGCTCACTTGCGACTAGGCTCGGGCTCGTCAATGTCGAGCCCAAGCGGCTCGTGTTTTCACGAGCGATGAGCCGCTCGACCCGTTTGACAACGGAATTCAAAATTTTTTGCGGCTCGTGATTTCACGAGCGACGAGCAGCTCGACCCATTTGACAACGGAATTCAAAATTTTACCTGCATTTGATGTTTGGACAGCCATATATGCGGTCCACAAAATGTCCGCACCCGGGGCAGCCCACAAAATGTCCGCACCCGGGGCAGCTCTTCCATTTCTTCTTCTCCGCAAGCTGTCCAAAAGCAATATCATTCTCGTCTCTCAATTCCAGGGGCGGACGCAGAACTTTATCTTTGAGGGGCACAATCGAACTTGAAAAGAAATTGGTAGAATTCTTACAATCGAAAATTTACGTTCAAAAAAGTCACACTCCTTGTAATTTTACATCTAAAAATTTACATGAGTTATGACTTTTTTGGATGTAAAATTT